TTAGTTTTAACGCATATAAAACACTCTATTTCTATTTATAATTCATTTGTGGAATTTTTTTTTAAAATTCGTCCCAAATATAAGTTACTGTGCTTGCGTTGCGTGTTAATTAATGAGCTTTTTGTAATTTTACTTATGTTGACTTAATAAATATAGAGAGAGATAAATTAAATATGTAAAAATATGTAAGAAAAAATATAAAATATTTTTAATTTTTTTAATAAAAATGTGAAAAATAATTATCGATTTAATACATTTTTTTTATTCACAGACTTGAGATATAAGTAACTTATAAATAAAAATATAATGATGTTTTTATACAAAACGAATAGAGCGAAAAGACAAATAAAGAAACTAAAGACACGTTTAGATTGTCTTTTAAACAAGCAAACGTGCTTTGAAATCTGTAAAAATGAGATTTGGACTTTATTTGGAGACTGTGGATTATTTGAGTGGATTTTTAGCCAAGTAACTTGTGGAGCAAAATTCTAGACAGCTGAGGAGAGCCATGTTTTAGCATTTAATAAGCTTATTTACTATTAAAAACATTTAATGTTCATTCAAAATTATTAACTACTAGAGCTTCCATTCTCTCTCTTCTCCCTTACACCTGAACGTCTCATTTTTCCTCTTCTGCAGAGCTCTTCTCCCTTCCTTTGCCAGTCACCTGGTCTTCCCCGATTCTCCAACCTAGTTTGCACCATTGTATCACTTTCCCAGTTAATCTAGTGCATGCAAGGGATAAGTGGCAAGGTTTGGTTTAAATCAAGTGTGGCGTCCAATCTGGTGTGTTATGGCATAGCTTTCTCTGATCAAGTTCTTTTCTACTTCTCCCTTACAGAGCTCGTGTGCTTGGCCTAGGTTTATTTGTAGGACAATTGGGGTATACAATCCACAGAGAAATTTTTGCGTGCACTGGAAGCATCATGTCATTTTTTTATCTCCCTAGTGAAATAAAACTAAGGACCCGTTTGGTTTAATTTCAATGGACCATGCAATGTAATGCAATGCAGTGCAATGGGAATGCAACGTAATATTAATTAAAAAAATATTGTTTGGTATGTTTTTAAGAGGGGTGCAATGAGTTTTTTTTTTAATAATTATCTAAAATTAATATAGTAAAAGTACCAGTTTACCCTTAGTAATAATTCAAACCCTCAAACGCTGGAAAGCTGCTTCAAGATTCTAACCCTATCGGCCCCATCATTCATCTCTTAATGGAAGACAATTTTCTAATGGAATTAATGGTCTATCCTTGTCCTTGTGGATTCTGGCTTTATGGTTCTTCTCTCTTTGCTAAGACAATATACAACTTTGTACATCATTTTCAAGTTAAAAGTTGTCGCTTTATGGATTTTTTCCCTATGTTATTTCTTCTTGCTATTTTGCTTCTTTTTTTTCAGGTTTTGATTTCCTATACTTTCATTTCTGCAACTTGATAGGCTTTTTTTATCATTCATATGAAGTTCGGACAATGATGAGCTATCAGCTTCGCTGGTCTGGGTAAAGGGGGGAAAAAAAGAATTTATCAACTTCTGATGAAATCCTCTGAAATTAGAGTTAATAGGAAAATGGTTATCAACCTCATTGTGAAACTTCTTGAGTTGTGAAACTTCTGCATAGTAGGGGGTAAATATTGTCTTCTTACCTAAGTTAGTGAGGACAAAATAGACATTTTATAAAAGATTGTACATCCGCAATGAGTATTCATAAGGGGTCCCCTGTAAATAGACATTACCCAAAAATGTGCAATCTTTATTACTAGTACAATCTTTTTTATCATCATTAAATCTAACCAAACAGATCATTTATGGTAATACAATGAGGATTATGTGTGCAATGACATTGAAGTATTGAACCAAACGGCCCTAACTCAGCTAAATTCAGTCATCACTGGTCTTAAAAATAAAAAGTCATGTGTCCCACAAAATTTTTTAACAATTTCTCTCCTGTCAATTTAATGCCTCTCTCTTCCTCCCATTTTCACTTTCTCTTTTCCTCTTCCATCAACCCACCAAATCCGTCAGCTGTTCAAATTTGAAAACCACCTCAAAAAACCTTCACTAGTTTAACTACATTCCACCAACGTGCCCTCCCCACAATATACTACCTTCAGTTCTAATTATAAGATTTTATTTATAAATTATAAATAAGGTTTTATAATTATGACCGGAGGTAATATTAAAAATATTTATTTATAAAATTTATACTAACTAAATTAATGTTATAAAATAATAAATACATAGTTATATATATTAATTTTTTGAGTGGAAAAACTATTCTATTACTTATTAAATTTGATTGTTATTTTAATTTTGCAAATTCTTTTAAATTTTAAGTCACAATTAGATAAATTTTCTAACTTGTCAATTTTTAATTGAATTGTCACACACATATACTTTTACATCTGTTTTTTAATATAAAAGTTAAATAAATAATTTATGAATATTAAAAAAATTACTGTGTTAATTATTTATAATAAATATGCATTGATTTTTTTAAAATATTTTTTAAACCATATGCATTATAACTGTGTTGCCCGTCTATTCGATCAAATCTTGTTATATGTGATTTTTTATTTACATATACATATGCATATATATTACTTATATGTTTAAGGTAAAAAAATTTAATAGATGTAAAAATATATTAAGAAACCCCTAAAATTTTACAATACCGCCGAATTTTATTTAAATGTATATCAGATATAAATAAATATTTTAATATATAACTGTGCATTTATTATTTTGTAACACTAACTTAGTTAATATAAATGTTATAAATAATTATTTTTAATAATAATTAATATATTGCTGAGAAGCACGCTAGGGTCTTGGTGGAATGAAATCAAAAGGATGGAAATTTTTTGGGGTGGTTTTCAAACGGCCGTGAGATTTGGTGGTTTTTCATGAAAGAGAAAATAGGGGCATTGTTGGAAGTGAAAATTGGAGGAGGAGGGAGGCAATAATAAATTGGCGGTGAGAGAAATTGTTAAATATAAATTTTTGTGGGATCCACGACTTATTATTTCTGTTACCAGTAATGCCATCCGAGACTCATGTAATTGGTAGATCACAAATGACGTGGCGTTCTCAGCAAGAATTTCTCACAGTCTGTATGATTTTGATTTGTTGTCTCTCCCATCAGATCTCCATGGGAACATTAAAGAAAAGGACGGATGGAAAATGGTTGATTTGCATCTTATGAGGTGGATCTTTGCATTTAATTAGTTGTTCTCTCTTTTATTTATTGTCAGTTATTTATTTTATAATTATAATGTTAGTTTTTTTTTTTAACAATTATCATGTTAAAAACTTAAAATCATATAGTATAAAACACTACTATTCAATAAAATTTATATTTTAATTTAATATCTTATTTTTTTAATCAATCATTTAAATAAGTTTTAATTTTTGAAACTGATTTTTTATAAGTTTTTATAAAAGTTTTTATCAGTGCTAATCCAAACTGATTCTAAGGCAGGAGAGCTTCCAAGTGCGTAAATAAAGCGTCAGGGCCAAGTATTAATAATCCTCCTGATGATGGCGACGGCAGGGGTGGCCATGGAAATCAACGTTTTCGCGGTGGCGGAAAAGGAAGAGAAGAGCGTCCTCATTTCTCGGTGGATGTGACGGAGGCGTGTTGCTCGGGAAGCAATGGCTTGACGAAGCTTTTTGTCTTTTAAATAGCGTTTGATGAATTCAGAGGAGTATATTATTTAAATTATTTTTTTTTGGGCCAAAATTTAAATTATGTTCAGACACATAATTATATAATATTTCAAAAACTCGATAAAGATTAAAGATAAGAAGTGAAACGAACATGTTTAATATATTTTTCTGTACTTAATATAGGACTTAATTATTAAGTTAATTTTTGTCCTAAATATAAAAACTATTTCTCATATTTATTATTTTTTTCTAAATTACCCATATAGATACTTCCTCAACTATAATCAAGTAAGTGAGGGAGGATATTAAGAAAGATGATTATAGCGTTTTAGGAAAAACATGTCATATTTTTTATAATTAACTAACTTACCTAACTTTCTTAATCTAATCAAATTAGTTAAATAGGTTTTATATTAAGAACCGGAAGAGTACTAATTTTAAGAAATTCTAACGATTACATAAAAAATTATAATTTCAAGGGAAAATTAGTGAAAAATCCCTGTTTAAAATTTTAATTGGCCAGAAGAACCTGATTTGTACAAGTACAAGTATGATCCGTGAGTGCAACATGTTATCCGCTGTGTGCAAATTGCATTTACCAGTTTTTCCTAATTCGAATGCATTTTCCATTCATGATTAAAACAAAAATTGGGATATATGTTCAAGTTTTATATAAATGAATTAACATGCACAAGATCCAAGCTTTAAATAATTATATAAACCTTTTTTTTTTGTGGTGGTGGATGATGAAATGTACAAAGCGGGCCTAGCAGAGCAGTCTACTTTTACAAATAGTGTTGATTTTATTATCAGAAATTATTTTTTGTCTATACAAACCTATTTATTGAAGTTTTTCGCTGTGAGAAAAAATATACAAAATTTTTTTTAAATGAAATAAAAATGACATAATCATTAAATGATAAATATATCTATGTTGATAATTAACCCATATGGACTAAAAAATACCATCTCCTATCCCATTAGTAAGATCTCATTTGTAGGCTATAAATAAAATCTTATAATTGAGAATAAAAAGACCAAAGCTGACGTGGCAATCATCCAAAACCACCTGGTTCATTCGCCAACAGCCTACCTCCGCCACTTTGCATCTAACCACAACCTGACCCTGTTGTACCCGGAAGCCTCGTTGCAAAATAAAGCTAGCGTGAGAAATTCGAGGAGTTCGAGTTTCAATTTTTGTTTATATGAACAGATATTCCCAGATCTTGATTTCAATTTTTTTTTTTTTCAATACAAGATTTCAATTTAAGAAACTAACGAAATCATTACCAACTACGGGATTCAACATATTTATGGCTCTCTCACAGCTTTCTGCCACAATACAACGGCTTGGCTTTTCAATGCAGGATGCTAATTTCTCTTGATCACCCACAAAACTTACAGACACACAGGTGTGTGACATCCATAATTTTTAGTTTTAATGCCTTTAGTGCCGCGATAGAGCTTTCTACAAGAGAAGTGGAAGATTCTTGGCCAGCTAAATTGGATCCACACGTAGTTATTTACAAGGGCCTGACTCATATTTCATATACAGCACAATAATATAGTCCATTTACACCACTGCGTGAAGGATGCAGTAAATTTGGTAATGAACAAATATCTCCAGCTCCAATGACTCAGCTCCAACGTACTATTATCAGGCCATAGTGTGAGTCCTTTATTTTCAACCCAATGACTGAAGCAGATGAAAAACAGGTGAATTAGCATGTTTCCTTCAACTCATCAGCACAGAAAGACAGGGGACACAAAAAGAGAGTACAAAGTGAAGGCTTCTGTAGTTCTGGCACCGTCAGAAACTGACTCCATGGGCCTCCCACATAAGCATGAAGAAAGAATAAAATGGGTAGATAACTTTAACGGCAATGCGTGCAAGTTGAAGTAGTACTTGAGTGGTTTCTCATGCATTTTTCATTAGGTTATTAAACAAATAAGCTATGCATAGTATTTATTCCACAAAGCTATCTATGGCAAGGCATGCCCTCTGAAGACGTCTAATTGCTATCAACATTGTTAGAAACTTAGAATTTCATAATTGTTCATGGTCTCTGAATAATGCAATATATTAAAAATTTTACATCTTCATACTGATTTATGTTGATTCCCTATCTCCTCCTTTATAAGTTCCAATGCAGCTAATAAGCTTGCAATTTCAAATTTCGAACAAATAAACGGCCTCTGAAAGATTTATGCAGTTACACGCTATCCACAAAAATGGGATGACTTAGTTAAAATATTAGGACAGTAATGGAAAAGGAGTGCTTGCTAGAAAATGTATGAGAATGTGACAGAATGTAATAGATTTGGTAAGGCGCTAAGAGCTGCAAGAGTTGAATAGAGCATGTGGTATGAAATCCCAATACAAAGTATTTAAGAAATTATTTGCCCATGAATGAATTGAAAATAAACATGCAATTGCCAGTAGCAATTACAAGTGGATAATTTAATCCCATTGGAAAATAAAAGGCATCCTTGCTCATTGGTCAAAAATATATAAAAAGGTGCAAAAAAACGATGGAAGAAGGGGATAAATAAAACTCTCACCTCAGGGTAGCAGTCTTGCCGGATGACAGTCTGGTTATTTGTATTCACATACACCAGACATGATACTGTAGCCTGAGTTGAAAATACAATGTTTTAGATAGATGGCAGCAAATAAGTGAATAACATGCATATGTTAATTGCGTTCAATTAAAATCATGAAAACAACCAGACAAGATGCGCTAACAGGTAACATTCAGAAGCATCCTTCAGCAGGACATCACTGTGACTATGTAGACTCTTAGCATGCACGTACAACATAGAAAAATGTGTAAGCATTTTACTCAATAAGGTTCAGCTCCAAACTAACCACTTTAGGATCAGCATGACTAGAATATAAGTAGACAAAAATTCAAAGTAATTTGCAGCAGAAACAATCTGTCAAAAGTTGTGGTTACAAACCGGAATTGCCATATTTTATCTTACAATCTTGGTAGCTAACTTAGATAACACTTGGCACACAACTTAGTCTGATGGATTTGAATAAAGTTGATTATCATGACACAAGAACTCCCATCACCTTACTCTTGGAATTGGTATGGTAGCCTCTGTACTTGTTACTTTATTAGTTATCTTATTGTTCTCAAACAGATTGTTCCCATCAAAATATCCCAACATAACTGATCAATTCTGAACTTTATGGTTTCTATGATACCATAGGCTGAACCCTTTTCGTTAAATCATGTAGTACGGTAAAGTTTGTCGGCAAGAAAAATCACACTCCGTGTAAATAGAGCAAGAAACAATCCTAAACTAAACTGCTCTGCCTTCAAACAAGAAAAGCCCCACTCCTGGTACAATTATAAAGACAAAAAATTTATGTCGCTGACGAACAAGCCAACACTCAAAATTTTCATACCCAAAAATAAGCGACCCATCAAGTCAATGCTAAAACCAAAACCAAAATCGGGGAAAAGAATAAGCAACAAATGAAAAAATAGATAATTTTCTTAGAGTACCTTCAACGGAAAGTTGAAGAAGAGCAGCCCGAGAGTCCCTTTGACTCGCGTTTCAGCATCGAAGGGAATGACACCCTTAGCCAAATCTTCAAGCAAGTAAAAGACGTCATGGATGACCTGAAATCCATTGAGATCAAGCGTGGCGTTCATGTACGACGAACCCCTCGCTCTGAGTCGACCACCGTTAGAACTCACACTCCCGAGCTCTCTCCCTCGGTAACCCACCGACACGTTAATGGAATCATAAGAAAGAGAGAAGAAATTTCTATTCCGGACCTTAACAGTGAGGAAGAACGAAACGTCAAGGACGAGTTTTGGGGAGGTCTTGATCCCAATGTGATTGAGATGCAATCGGGCAACCCGAATATCGGGATCCGACGGGTAAAGGAAGAAAGTAGCGGCGGCTAGCAGAAAGATGAGGAAGAGTGCGCCGGAGCAGTAGAGATAGCGACGGTGGCGACGGCTGTAGGGAGGACGGTAGGCGGGGAGGATTACGATGACGTTTTGACTCGGCGGGTCAGGATCAGGGGTAGGGTTCGCGGGGAGGGGCGAATACCGAACGAACTCGTCCTTCCCGGTCATGTTTTTGTCCGTCCACTCGGTATCTGTCTCATTCGGCAGCCTTTTACCTCTGCCTGCCTTGGACTCTATTCTCCTGGACGTACATTACTGATTTTCTACGATGGTGAGTTGGCGTTTCACTTTTTTACTCGGTCTTGTTCAGTATATCTGATAAACAAATGATGCAGTGTTCATATTTCTTTTTTTAAAAAGGGAATAAAGTAAGAAAAATGGCTAAAAAGTACTTACAAACAAGTTTTTTTCATTTTAATTTTAATATGCATGAGCGGGATAATAAATTTTAGGAAAAGTGGCAAAAAAAACATCACTGAAATAACAAAATTGCAGATAGAGATTGGTTTACAAAAATTATTGTCAAAACACATACTATTGTTATCAGAACCCATACTAATAATATCATGAGTTTTTATTTATAATTTTTCTATTTCGGCTTTTTTTTATCATTTTTTCTAAATTTTAAACTAATTTAGTTAATTTTTTGTCAATAATTTATTTAAAATTTTTAATATAACTAAATTAATTAACTATATTTTATATTAAGTAACAAGTACTCTCTCTAATTTAAAATATAAGATAAATTTAATCGATTTATGTTTATCAACAAATCAGTTTAAAATAATAAAAATATAAGACATGTATTTTTTGTATTTTTTCCTAATATATTTGTATTAATGAAGAAAATAAGTAAAAATACAATAAATGAATTAAAAAGAAAAAAATGTATCAAGAAATATTAAAAAAAACTCATTAAATGTTTACACAAAACTAAAATATATTCCTTTGGTACTTAACATGAATATATTAAAGATGTTAGTTAAATTAGTTAATGTGATTTTTTTTTCTAAAACACTCTTAATTAATAACCAAAGGAGTATCTTGTAAAAAAATTAACAGGATAAATTTAAGAAAAAATTAACAAACAAATAAAATAAATTATATATATAAAATCAATGTCAACTTCTGAATTAAATTCTATATGTACCAGAAGAGCATCTTTTTTTTTTAAAAAAAAGCCACATAACAAAATTTGTCCTAATATTTTACATTCAGTTTACATGAGGACAATACTTTCACCGTGAAAATATTTCATCGGGAAAAAGCAACACTCCGGGTGGGATCAGCCACCGGTAGTTGAAAGAAGTGTGTGCGCGGGTGCCTTTTAATTTTTTTTTGGTCCGTATCTTCAAAATTACTTTCTGCTGTCTGAAAATTAGTAGGGGCAGGAGCAATCCTGTGGTTGAGCTCATTAGCCGGAGCTGGAGTCTTCGTCGCGAAAGGGAGAGTAGTCTGAGAGTGAATCGCAAGGGGTTCGAGAAGCAGTCGATCCTCTCGTCGATCTCGGCTTAATGTCGGTAAGCAACGAGATTATATAGTTACTTCGTTAACATCCTTGTTCTGGCATCTTTGCTACGAGGAAATTGACTTTTCCTTGTTAGCACACTCGAAGAAATAATTTTTTGCCTTATTTATGTTGTTATATGAGGACCACTTGCTATTCCTGCTGTTCACAGCTTTATTTTCTTACCATTGTCGATGACTTCCCTAGGTATTCATGGGTGGATCTCATGAAAAATGAATAAGAAACCAGACATCAGTTGCAGTCTTTTATCTCTTTGTGAAACTCAATACAGCACGAAAACACAAGTTATTCATTTGGATAATGGCCCTAAATTACTCATCATGTTCTTTTATGAATCTGGAGATACTTTACACTAAACTTCTTGCATTGAAACTCCCCTACAAAATGGCATTGGGGAACGAGAACGTCAACAGATATTAAATGTTTCTCGAGCGTTGCTTTTAATCTCACTCCCTAAAACCATATTGGTGCTATTCTATTTCTCATGTAGTCTACCTTATCAACTGATTGCCCTCTACACTAGTACAAAATTCTGCCCCTTTTGAGCTATTGGATCAGAAATCATTGACATTAGACCATCTTAAAGTCTTTGGTTTTGCGTGTATTGCTTCTGCTTCATCTGAAAATCGATCCAAGTATGGTTCTCAGGCTTGAAAGTGTTTCTGTTTGGGTCCTACAACTCGCCAAAAAGGTTCCACATTTCTTGATATTCTTAACAAAATCATTCATTTCCAGACATATCATATTCTATGAACATAATTTTCCTTTTGATACCCTTTTCTTATGGGCATTCTACAACTCCTCTACCGCAGAGCTAAAACTTTTTGGACTTTCCTGATCCTCTCCCCCCCCCCCTCATTTCTCCTGCGATAACAGAACCTCAGCCCGAATCTCCTATTGTTTATGTTTCACCACCTCCAATCCAAAAATCCACACAGACACACACAGCACATCATTGTATCCGCAGAACTATCATTACTCACTTCAGGCCGTAGCAGGACCATTTTCCACTGGAAGAGGTCATCTCTATCCTATTTTGTCTGTTTTTCTTGCACTAATTTTTCCTCTTCTTACAAAGACTTCACCTTATCCATTTTGACTCCCCAGGAACCTGAAACCTATAATTAAGCAGTCAAGCATGACGAATGGATAAATGCTATGGTTGCTCAAATTAAAGCACTTGAGCTGAATTAAATCTGGTCTTATGTCTCTTCTGCCTTGTAAGCAACCCATTGGCTGCAAATGGGTTGATAAAATTGAGTATAAAGCTGATGGTACTATTGAGATGACAAAACAAATTGAGATTGACTGTTACATGGTTTACGAAAAGCTGCAAGCTAAAGCCATTCATCTCTTACCTATTTGGTCCTCTTCTCAGCTAATTGATGTATGTATATGCTACAGTTTTTTAGCTAGTAATGTTAGTTAATTGAGACTTCAGACTAGTTGTTATTCCTCTGTAAATGTGTACAGTATAATCATAATGAAAAGTATCTTCTTTGGCAACAATGCTTCTTTTTGTCAGTTCCTTTAGGTTACGTCCATGTGAATTCAATCTAGTGGTTGTTGGTCCTAATCAGAAGGAACGAGCAGATGGGTGTTGATTAAGTAAGATTTGGCCATTCAGTGCTAAGCCAGTATGGAGTCAGAGAGATTCCATGGAAGTTGTTCTAGGAACACCAGCAACAACAGTGTCAGCCAGTTAAAGATGGTTAGTCGCAGAGAGGTAAACCCATCATTCATTTTTAATCCATTTCATATATGTGAGGTTTCTGAAATGTTACGGTTCATTTTGTAGATTCTTGCCAAGAAGAAAGCCATTCAAGAACTAATAAAAGCAGCATATTTTGTGAAAGACCATATTGCTTTTTTCCCCTCATTCTGCCATTATGACAAAAACGGTGAGAATATCAGAATATAATTTACTGCCCATATCGTAAAATAGTGATTCTTCATGGTAGTAATATCAATAAGCCTACAATTTGGTGGTGTGATTAGATGGATATTTTTCTTCATATTAATCTATGGTGAAACTTATTTATATCAAAGTAGATCGGTCATTATATAAAAAGGGACAACTATAACATATGAAATTCTGGTTCAATAAAACTTCCAACTACGGAACAAAACTATTGCTCGAATTTCAGAAGTACTACTCATTCTGTATTTGGTTTACTGTTCATTCCTAAATTATAAGGCCACTCCTTTGGACTGTAAATTTGCAAGGGAAATTATATATGGTCAAAGTTCTTTTGTAGCCAGGTGGTTTCAATGTTTCTTAAATAAGTTTTTGGCTAGTAAAAATGTTTGTTAAGTAAATTTCTGCTACACATGACACTGCATTTTGTTTGATATAAGAATTTGGAGTCGATGGAATTTAGATGAAGTGAGAAGAAAGTGAAATTCAGAATAATCACTTTTTAAAGTGGGATTGGTTTAGGGGGGTAAACTGGAAGTTACAGGAGAAATGGCAGTTAGAGGGTATAGAAAAAGAGCAAGTGTGATGGAACTTGAATTTTACTATTATTTATGTGGCAATTCCAGACCTTGGCCCATGTGATGGACCACTGTTTCGTTGATCTGAGAGTACCCTCTATCTAAGCATCTAGTACTAGAAATAGAAAGCAGAATAGAAGAATCAAAACGGATGCATAGCATTCCATCCTCTTGGCATTTGAGAGACTAGGATACTCTCATCTGAAACTAGAAACTCCATACCCCCTCTTAGTGCGCCCTCTCTCTCGTGCACGCAACTGCAAAAGCGAGTTACATGTTTCTGCCCGCTCACCCTCTTTTCCTCTTCAGGCCTGCTTCATCTTTCTTCAGCATATGTGAGGCCCCATTGTGCCATCCTCTGGGACGCATTCCTTTTCTAGTATAAAATCTCCCCAGTGTTTACAATTTTTGTCAAAGTAACTGGAGGAAGTATGGAAAAATTACAAAAAGAGGTCTGGGGAGAGTGCCAACCTCTCAAATGCTAGTCTGGGATCTGTTGTATCTGTTTTTGTCTCTCGTTCTGTGCAGCTGTTGTCTATGTTTCTTTGTTTTATTTTTCTGTTTCGGAGTTAATTTGTGGTTCTTTGTGAATTATAAATTATTGTGATTTTTCCATTGCTGTCTATTTTTCTGTGCTAAAATTTCCATGAAATGCTTGTGGATTCTATCACATTTTCACTTCCTCATCTCCTGGCAAGTTTCACATTTTGATTGATCATTTTTGTGCTTCTTGGCGCCCTCCACATCAAATATTACTTTTAGGTCTCTCCGTGTATTTGGAATCTGGGCGTGGCGATAAATTGTCCATTACTGTTAAGAACTACATTCAAAATCTTCTCAAGGTAGAAGTAGTTGTCTATAATCCCCTCGCTGTTTTCCAATTTGTTGAAACTTCTACAATAATTTTGGAAACATGTCATTTTTCTCCTGTTCATAGCACTGTCTCTGTTTTCGTTTTAGTGTCTACTCCAATGTTGCACTTAGCTTCTTCATTATAAATGGAAAATGCACCTGATTTGTCTTTCCCTTGACTACAGCAAAACATGGAAGGACATTATGGCTCTGAGTGGCTAGTGGAAGAAAAGGTGAAGCGCAGAGAAACGGTTGCTCCGGAAGCACGTTACATATTTGTGCATGAGGTTACCAACACAAATTTTAATGAGAAGACAGCGATGTTAATTGGGGAAAAAACTTCAACTAGCTTAGAAAATAGTGGCCCCCTCGTTGGATTTGTACAATACAGATTTATTGTGGAAGAAGACATACCAGTGCTCTATGTGTATGAACTGCAGCTTGAGCCTCGCATCCAGGGGAAAGGACTGGGAAAGTTTTTAATGCAAGTAATCGAGCTTATAGCCCACAAGGTGCTGATTCTTTTTTCACGCTTAACTGATTTTGATTAAAACCTTGAAGTTTTTCTGTGCTGCTAAGGACAAAACTAGTAAGCATGGAAGTGATGGGCTGTTAAATTTCAAAATATTATAAGTGAGCTCTCTCTCTCTCTCTCTCTCTCTCTCTCTATGGACACACATGCACAGAGTCAGAGGAGTTTTCTTTGGTGAAAGATTAGAGGAGGAACTAATAAGCATTGGATTAAAAGTAAATGTTCAAAATTCAATATTGATGCAAAAATCAAAGAATATGTTACGCATATCTTAATGGTGGGATTTGGATCTTATATATTCAATGCTTGCATTTATATCTTGGGATTTTACGGCTCCACATCAATATGCAGGCATTTTCCTGGTCTTATGAGATTTTGATGATCAAGGTTATATCAGAACTGCAATCCCTGATCTGCTCTCTTCATTTATTGCAGAACTGCATGGGTGCTGTCATGCTAACCGTTCAGAAAAAGAACTTGTTTGCTATGAATTTCTATATAAATAAGATGAGGTACAACTTATGTATGCGGCCAAATTATATTCCTTTCTGAAATCCTTGCTTAGCAAATTTGAAAAGGATGGAAGGAAAAGAAGGATTCTTTTTGCATGCCACCAGTTGTTCTTGTTCGCTACATGTATATTTCAAGAGGAAGACATTCCATTTAAAATAGTTTGTCATACTGGTTGCTCTTTTTTTTTTTGGCCAAAGTATTGAGTTGGGCATATCGGTTTATTGCTTAATTTCATGGCGGTGTGCCATTCTTAGGATAAATTAAACGTTTGAATCTTGATGAAAAGCATTGACAAATAATGTATGGACTAGTTTTAAGGGGAAAAATTGGTGATAACCTGAAAGATTGATATGTATTCAAAGATTGTAGCTGACATATTCAAATCACAGGTTCAGAAATAACTGTGTTCTATGTAGACCTGATAGCTATATGCGGGGATCTTATCCACAATATGATTATCACGAGCCTTTCTTTGTTGTGCTTGATTTTTTTGTGTTAGGTGACGTCTACTTTTAATGATATCATTTAGAACGATCCCATCCATGAAACTATGCTAGTCCATATCATTTTTAGCTGGAATTTGCTGTTAGAATACCTAGGTGAATCCTAACTTTTTCTAACTATATTTTTCGTCTATAATTCCCAGTTCTTCTCTATGTTACATTTGTCTTTTGTTTAATTGATCAAATTGTCATCTATACACTGCAGATATAACATATCAACTATGTCTCCATCAAAGGTTAACCCAATGGTATATTGCTGTTTTCATTGCATAATGCTAGTGATATCCCCTATTTTCTACTCTAATGAGTTGCAGCATGTGTACCTTGTGCAGATAGGGAAGGAGAGTAGTTACGAAATTCTTTGCAAAACATTTAATGAAGAAGCTAAAACTAAATTGGAGGTAAACACTAATTGTTTCATCAACTGTCTGAATCTGAAATTTCTACAAGAGCTTTTTCTTTTTGCAATTATCTGAGGTAATGACGTTTTCACTATTATATCGGACTTCTATTTTCCCCTCAGATTCCAAAATTTGAATGTATGTCTCAGAAGATTGTTTCTGTTTTAACGTCTCCTTCTTTCATGCCTTGCATTAGTTGTGCTCAAAAGTGGTTTCAAGTTTTGTATGGTTGGATTGTATGTGTCCTCCGAGGGACTTTCGAACGTATCTGTGCTAACTGGTCATTGGAGCTGACAAAGATGGGGGAAATAACAATTTAGAAATATTTGTAACCTTATGTTTCTTTCTTTGAAAGACATGGAATTGGAGACCTCCCTAATTATGCTGTAGCACCAGATGTTACATGAAAATGTATGGTTAATGATAAAATCAAATCTCAGGCGGCTTCTTTGTTTAGGCTTGTGCTGTAGTGGGGATGGAAAACAAAAATACGGAGTTGACATTTCATCTGAGACTTTTTCCCCCACAATTATATCTATTATTGTTTTCTTTATCCATAAGGTCTACTTTCTGTATGCAGGATCCAGGATGAATTGAAGGAAGTTATCATGCTGTGCGTTATAATTTTTCAACAGCATGAATTAGTTGGATGTACTTGTTCCCATGGCCATGAGAATCTGTTGAATTCTTTTATGATGCTTTCGTCGTCTACTTTTAAAACGCAGAGTTCTCTAATAGTGAAGAACACAAGTTTGATGGAATTTAGTTCAAAGTTTTGTGATGTTGAAGGAGTTTAACTCGGCTTCTCAGTATGTAGTGCTAAAACTGAAAACTGTCAATTTTGAATGAAATTTACTACTTACTTTGGTTTTAAATATAAAAACTAGTTTGAATGTTTATTTTGATTTAAGTATAAAAGCTTCATTCAATTTGCCTCTCAAATTTATAATTTTTTTAAAAATTATTTTTATTGATTGTATATGTAAAAAGGAGTTCTTATTTATGGAGTAATGATAAAAAAGGGTATCATAGAGAAAATATATATACATTTACTGTAAATAATTAATTTAACTATTTTTTTAAATATTTATAAGTTGATTATCTAACTTTTATATTTAGTATAGGATTTAAGTTTTGATTTGATCTTAGCCTTAAATATAAGATTTATTTTTTATATTTGTTAATTTTTTTCAAATTAATCATATTAATACTTCTTAAATCATAATCAAATAAAAGAGAAAGAAAAAATATTAGAAAAGATAATTATAATGTTTTTAAAAAAATATGTAATATTTTTTTATAATTAAATAATTTATTTAATTTTTTAATGTAATTAAATTAGTTAAATAGATTTTATATTTAGAATTAGAAGAGTAATAAATATTTTGCGGAAGACATTCCGCCGGAACAAATTTTTGACACAGCGCATTTGGCGGAGTTTGTGGCGTCAGAATCTTGCATTGGTTGAGCTTCTATTTTCGTGCATTTGAACAGTCTTCTATTTTTGTGATAGTAATTATGTATTATTTTTCTGTGAAGGTAATTATGTCTTTTTGTATATAGCCACCATTGTTTTAGAAAAGTATATAATATTTTGATATAATCACACAGTTTTGTAGGAGTATTAATATTTTTTTCACACTTTTGTCAACACCTTTAATTTTAAAAATAAATCAAAACAATCAATATAAGTATGTTCATTAGAATTTTAAAATTTTTTTATGATGATAACATATTTTCCCACATATTTTTAAATTTTCTGTAAATTATTATTATCAAAAGTTCTCACATTCTTTCTTCTTCTTTTTTGTTGACCAGGAAAGTTCTCACATTCTAAAAACGCTTGAAGTCAACTTTCGATTGAATAAAAAAACGAGTAGATTGACAGGATAATGTGTATACAAATATTTATTCTAAGTTCTTTTAACAAAATGCATAATCTTATATATCTCTAAAATTAAATTTTAATTAAAAGGAACATAAAAGTTATGTTTTTGGGACTTGAGCTTTTACCTTAATGGCCTACGCCTAAAACATTAAAAAAAAAAAGAAAAGAAATCTTCCATATGATTAAAAATTCAAAAGTCAAGATTGAAATTGAAGTATTTTCTCCGCTTCAGCTTGTTATTTGTTTTGGGCTTATCATGTTACGATCTCAATTAATTCAACAAATTGCAACCAGCTGTCCTTTTCAATGAGAAGGCGAAAGTCTACGTTGAAAAAATTGAAATGTTCAAAGTGATTATATCAAGAGAGGTTAATAAATAGCATCCTTCTGGTTTCGAATAATGGTATATCGGGGGAAAACAAACTCTATTTCTTAAATTTATATTTTCTTCCTAAACTACTCTAATTAATTACATATAAATTGAGTATTAAACATCTTTATTGATGAGAAATTGAGAATAGCTAGTGTTAACGTAAATAAAGGAGTATTTTAGAAAACCAACACATGCCTTTATAAATATTTAACTTAACTTATTTTTTAAGTCTTTATAAATTAATTATCTAATTATTATATTTAAGAATAGAAGAAGTATTATTACTGTTTAAACTAACAATAATTAAAAAAAAACGTTGGGTGAACATAACTGATGATTCAACAGTAGGAACAACTAGCAATATAGTATTGAGTACAGATAAGGTGCATCCTCGTATGGTTCATTTCATTGCAAGCATATATATATATATATATATATATATATATAATTAAATATGAAATGATAGTGATCAACATATTCCATCTTTTCAATAGGGCAGGTGGGATAAGACCCATTTCTCATCCATGATTATCCCTTTGGAAATTATCTTGTTTCTTTACTCTTTGAAAAGGAAGAACATAATTGAAACAGGAAGAAGACAGCGACATATACATATATTTATATATATGAGTGTGTAAAAGATAAGGATACAATAATTATGGAATTGCCATGTCATTCTCAAGGTCGGCCACCCTCTGTTGTTGTCATTTTCTTGCACTGTGGATGAGATTTTGGCTAAAATAATAGAAATTCCCCAATCCATTTTCATTATTCTACGCAATTCCACTAATTAACAAAGATCTATTCCGATCAAGAATCAAAATCATGTGGACGCGTGAGCCAGATCTATCAGCATCATCACAGAAACAAAAAAGAAATTAAAGAAACAAGTTATGGTAAGAACAAAACCAGGTAGGTACGTAGATCATTCATGAGAGAACTCGATCAGAACACAGAACACAGATTTACATAACAGACGGATACAGAAGTTCTTAGTGAAGAGATCACAAGGCGAGAATAATCCCAGAGCTTTCTACCACAATAATAATAACAGAAGCATCGTGAAGAATCAAAAGAGCACAAGAAGAAGAAGAAGAAGATTATTTAAGTAGCAGAAGATGGAGGAGAAACAGAAAGGGAATGCTTGTTGTGACCAGGCATGGAATTAGAGCGTTTGATCCAAGGGTTTGATGAGGAGGAGGAAGAAGAGGATGAGCGATGAAGACGACATCGGAAGGAGCCTTCGTGGGTGGTGGGAGAACACAAGCAGTGGCCTTTTCCGGCGCCGTTGTCGCTCGTCGGGGAGGTTGAAACCACCAGCTTGCCATCGGAGGCCTGAGAGTGAGAAGCCATGGAGGATGAAGTGACGAAGGAGATGTCGCAGAGAGCCAAATCCAGGACAGGAGGAGGGAGCAAGCAAGCAGTTACAGTCTCACATGATAAGGAATCATAGGACCGAACCCAACATTTATTTATATAGCAGAGGCTGGTGCGTGGGTCCCACCACCAAAAGGACCCAAAAAAATCTACCAGGTGGTGCGCCCTCATTAATGCACTTGTTTTTCTATGTTTTGTGATATCTCATCCTCTTTCAGGATTTTGGATAAACTTGAGAAAATATAAAAAAAATTATTTTAAATATAAAATATAGTTTACCTGTTTATGACGCATTGTACTACAAATTAGAAATTACATCAGATGTCCTCAAAGCAAAAGATGTTATTAATTCTTCAAAAAAATGCTCATATTTAGCACTTCTCCTATTCTTAATATAAAACATAATTATTGAGTTAATTTTAATCTTAAATATAAGATTTATTTTTTATATTTATCAATTTTTTCTAAATTACTCTAATGGATACTTTCTCAATCATAATCAAGTAGAAGAGAGATAGAAGATATTAAGGAACATGATTATGGTGTTTCAGAAAAAACATGTCATATTTCTTATAATTAACTAATTTACTTAACTTTCTTCATATAATCAAATTAGTTAAACAGGTCTTATATTAAAAATCGAAGGACTAGTATCTAGCAGTATATGGTGCAAACTCTTGATAAAAATACACTTGTGTTTAATAAATAAAATAAAATATTAAAAATACTATTCATATTCATTTAGCACCAATATTTTGGAAAACTATCCTTAGCAAATCACTTTTCCGTCTATGTTATACTGTAACCTGTGAAATTATTCCAAAAAATGTTCTATAAAGCAAAACGGAGGGAACATTTTGGATCTCATATTCAAATCAGTTCAACTTAAATTTTAAAAATAAAGAACATCATTTTTTCAATTAAAAGATCAAAATGCCATTAAAGATAACAAAAGATAAAGCACATCATTTAAATTCCAATGATAACAAGATTTGCTTGAACAATGGTTAGAATTAATATAAATGTGGTTTAATTAGTCATAAATAAATTAATATGTTTAAAATAAAATAATTATTTTTCATAATAAAAATGTATATTTAAATTCAAAAAAATTAATATATATAGTGAAAAAAAATTCACCAATCCTCATGATCTCATACAAAGCATATGTACTTTTTTATTTATTTATAATTTTAAAACATGCACTGCACACACACACATATTTCTTTCCTTTTTTTCCCCCTTTCCTAGTGCTCATTGAGTGTAGATTTGCATTAATCATGTCTTAGAAACATGAAGTAAAATTTTTTAAACAGTATCAGTTGAGCCAAACAATCCTAATCTATTAAATTAAACTTAAAACTATAAGCAGGTTGCATGTGATATCCAACATAAATATTGTAAGATGGAGGGAAACAGTGATGAGACTGAACTTCCCTCTCTTTCTCTTTTCACTTAAAGTTTAGGTCTAACTGGAGGGAACTTAAAGCCATCTTTTATATTATACCAACTTTGAAAAATGAATCTCATTAGTTATAAATAATAAAACTTTTTGTAATTTTTTTATTATTCCAAAGATTTCAAAGTCTAATGATATTCCATCTCATCCCTAATCCATATGAGATTTTTTATCAAATGGCTTTTTATCACATTCATATGTGGGAGGCCAAATTTGTTTTGAATTTTTATTATTTTATTATTCTTATTTAGAAAAATAGCAAAATTTATAATAAATTTTGCCATTCATATAAATTATAATATTCAAGTAACACTTGTAAACTAAATGAACTTAGAAAAAATTGGTAAAAAATTACTGTTTAAAAATTTAATTGGCTAAAATGATCTGAATTTGAGCAAGTGCAACTAGAATACATGAGTACAACATATCTTCCACTATAAACAAATGACTTCCGTATTAATGATTGTTACATATTATTAATGATATATTGTATATAATAGAAGATATATTGCACTCACAGGTTATAGTTGCACTCGTTCAAATTCAGATCATTTTAGCCAATTAAATTTTCAAACAGTAATTTTCTACCAATTTTTCCATGAATTTATACATTTATAGTTTTTCATTGTCTTGCAAAGTTAACAAAAACAATAAATTAAAATAAACAAACTCACAAGTCACAAGTCCAATAGTGTGTGTGAGGAAATGGTTAGGACAAAAATAGTGAATAGAGAAATTATAAGAAACAAATCCTTCCTAGAATATTAGGCCAAACTAGAGAGAGATTCTAAATTTTTTATGTTGCGTTGTTTATTCCCCCTAATGTTAATGAAATCACTCTAAAATCCTTTTTTATTAATAATTTTTTAAAATTAAAACATGAAAGGTGTTTAATTTTTATTAAATGAAACTCATTTAAAAAAAATCATGCATATCATAGTTTATAAAGAATGGTGTGTAAATTACTTTTTCACAATGCCAAAGTTTCTAAAACCTGCATTGAACTAAATCAGATTATGTCAAGCTAAAGTCCATCTATTTTGGCAATTCAATCGATTGTTTTGGTAAAAAAATATTTTAAAAATAATATAAATAATTTGATTATCGTCTAGAAGTTAAGATAAGAAGGGATCTAATCTGTGAGGATAAAGATGATAATGGTTTTGGGGGGAAAGGAGAGAATCAAATCAAGAGAACATGAGGCACATGAAAAGATGAGGATGGGCACGTGGGAAGCATGTGATTTCCATTTGATAGATTGTTCACGTGGCCAGTTATTCCATATTCAATTACCCAACAAAGTCATTTTTTTATTTTAAATTAACTTGATTCGGGAACATTTTATGTTGACCCCGCTCATCAATCATAACTGTGTTTGGTAATTACACGGCACGACGCCGTATATAAATCCTTGGTGGTAACGTGTGAAAGTGAAATGGAGCAACTGATACATGTGAATTTTTGAGCATACTGTTTGATAATAAAAATTAGGTTAAAATACACTTTTACTCCTTTAACTTCACACAAGATTTTATTTTGGTCTTTTAACTTTAAAAAATAAATTTTTAGTCTTCTAACCCTAAAATGTTAACAAAAAATGATGATATTGAACTCTTGAATAATGATAAAATATTACTAAATACTAACATATTAAGTTTAATATTCAAAACAATCATGATTGTTACAAAAAAATTTCATTTAAGACTAACAATTTTGGGTTAAAAGAATAAAAATATACTTTTTAAAGTTAAGAGACCAAAATGAAACCTTACATAAAGTTAAAAAATTAAATATAAATATTTTAACCTAGGTGGTGAATTTTGTTATGCACAGATAAGTAATCATGTTTAAGACACTGTTAAGCATTAAATATACAGGCACATCTTATAATGAAAATTTGAATATTGGTTTACACAGATTAAAAATATTGTTAAATGATATAGACTCTAATAGAATCCAGCAATATTTGAATAAAATAATGTCATATTAAATTATTTTTGTGCCGTACCTAATTATATTCACCGATAAAAATATAAAAATGAATAAAAAGGACAAAAATATTTCATTAAAGTTTGACAATAAAAAAATATTTTAAAAAGTTCAGAAAAGCTAAAAGATAACAATCATTTTGTGTGTTAACATGAATTGGTTGAATCTGAGGCAACTAAGTAAACTTAGTTGGGTAATCTGAAGTCTTAAGTAATACTTAATGGAGCAATCAAACATTATGCTTCGTTAAGAACAAGGAAGTGAGGTGAATTAGGTAAATTGCCTTTCACACTAATGCAACTAATTTTGTCGTGTTTAGTGCCAATGGATAAGAAGCGGTGTGGAGGGTTCTTAATTAACTAATGGCCATAAATGAAGGGGCGGACTTTAATTAATAAAAGTAAATTTTAAGTGTGCTGATCGCCTACTGATAAATCCTTCAGCTTTATGGTGAGGATGCCTGCCTGCTTATTAGAAATCTGATCCAGCACAGAGTGGGCCATTGGGCCCATTAATCCACTTACTATTCTCCCTTTTGCATTTGCAGCTTGGCACTTTTTTGTCTATTTTATTTTTTAAAAAAATACTAAGAAGAGTTGATCCAATTAATAAAGAATTAGCTTATAATCCATAAAATCGTGAGCTCAAATCCCACTACTGATGTAAGAATCTTGTTGATTGGTGATCTATAAGTACCTTTGTAAAGCTTTCGGGACTCAGCTTATCTAAACTTTCTGTTATAAAAAAATAAAAAATTGAAAAAGTGTTATTCTTTATATTATTTTATGATAATCATTCCTCATTTTTTTGTTAATAATACAAAATGTGTGTTTCAAATTACAAAATCGGTTTTTTCCATAATAAAAAAATTACAAATCAAAATTTCAAAATTATTCGTTTTCTATCTCTTGTAATTTTTATTAAGGTTTTAAAAATGAGTCCGGTAATTGAATCGAACAAAGATGTGGTTTGAAGGTCAATAATCAGACTATGGTCGCACATTTTCATTTTGAGGAAGTTAAATTCCTCCTTTTTTTGTTTTAATAGGATAATTTTATATTTTTTGAGTGATCTTATGGGTTTAATAGTGTTTAAGTCCATATCAACAGAATTAACACTACCTGGGCAACTCATAGTTCTTTTGGTGTATTTCTCAAAATGAAGGAACTAAAGTTTTAGACAGAGAAAACAAAAAGAAGAGGAAATCACAAAAATAAATTGAAAAAATTGAAACGGTATTTTCCCAGTATTTCAAATTGAATGCTTTGCATGGTGTAATTGTTATTACAAGATATTAATTTTATTTTAGAAATAAAATAAAAATACTAACAAAATTATTCTCATAACTGTGGCCAGGGACACAATGTTATTCACTTTTTTAAAAATAAATAAATAAATAGCAATGTTAGGACAATCTAGGCCATAATTGAAGTTTCAAGTTTTTTTTTGGGGGGGGGGGGTGTCATATATATATAAATATAGGATTGCCTTAATTTCGTGTGAAAGTGGGAGAAAGAATAAGACACATCACACAAGAGTACAGCTAAAATGAGTTGAAAATAGCATACTTACCAGTCCAACTCCCAAAACTACCAGTCTTCTCCCCCTTCTTAAATTATCATCTCTTCCAATTTCAATCTTACAAACTCGTCAATCCCATTCACATCTCACTGTGTGGCTCCCCGGAAATAGTCCTTCGCGTCGTCGCTGCCATTTCCTTCTTCATCACCACTTCGATCATTAATCCCTTTCTCTGCTGTGTCCTCAATTTCTTCTCTCTTTCGTACTCATAACTTTCTCTGGGAGATTCAACACTCGTCATTAGCAATGGTGAGAAGCAGAAACAAGAGTTTACAGGCCAAACTGGTGGGTACGTCTTCCCTTTCTTCATTTCATAGTAAAGGGTTGATTTCATTAATTCATGGAATCAGCTTCTCCTTCTATCATATTTTGATGATGACCAATACTAGGAAACTAAACAGAACCGTCAGATTTCTATAGCATAGCCTGATGATTCAGGACAGACATAGGCAATTATGTTTCTGATCAAATTTATCTGATTTGTGTCTGCCACAAACTAAATCTGCAAAATTTGGGTGCAGGTACTTCTTGGGCACATGGGAACAGGGAAGACAAGCCTGGTTCTGAGATTTGTGAAGGGGCAATTTTCTGAGTACCAGGTTGATTAACGTTAAATATATATATATGATTGAAGAGGTTTGATTTGAATATATAAGATTGTTAATTGTTTTGGGGGAACAGGAATCAACAATAGGAGCAGCATTCTTCACACAAGTGTTGTCATTAAGTGACAGCACCGTGAAGTTTGATATATGGGACACAGCAGGCCAGGAACGTTACCACAGTTTGGCTCCTATGTATTATCGTGGTGCTGCTGCTGCTATTGTTGTTTATGACATCACCAGCATGGTATCTATCTATCTACTACTTCAATCTTTAATATAAGAACTAGCTGATTAATTTGAGTAGATTAAAAAATTAGTTAAATTAGTTATTTGTAATAAATAGTTGTCTTTAAAGTATCCTTATTATCAAGTGTATTGGCTAGAACTACCATTATTACAATGAATACTTTAGGGGGAAAAAATAAATAAATATAAGAGACAAAGTAGATTGAGGTTATATATTTAAGACTGAAATAAAAGTAAAATGAGTTCATATATCCAAAACCTAAGGTAGTACTAGTACATTCCTTTTTCTTTCTTTCTTTTAAATTAGTAGTACATTCATTTTATATTTGATAGGATCGTATTATAGGGTTATATTTGACTATTGTTTGATCTAATCAAGAACACACTCTCAATCGGAACTTTTTTCTTGTTTATAATGTTCAAATTTCGACCTTCATTGAAGAGGGCTCGGGTCCACTTTGAATAAACATCAATTGTTTGGCACCAACGATCATATTTATATCTATCTTCAATTTTGAAAATTGTGGTTGAACAATTGAATAGGATCTTGTTTATTCATGTATCTGCTCATTTAATGGTCTTTCATCATCATCATGTTAGTTTTAAGCATTAAGGCATTCAAAATTTAATGGTTGTTTTTGTAGAAATTTAAATATCAAAATTATGAGAAACTATGGCCTGCTATGTGCAATTCACTCAGGTTGTCCCAATTATAATTTCTAGCCATTAACTAGATTGATTTGAATTGTTAGTCTGTTCCTTTCTTCCAAGCTTGGTATGCAATATCTACTTCTTCACTATTTTGGTTAGGCTATGGATTTGAATTATTACTCTCTCTTTTTTACCTGCTTAAATCATGGGGACGAAATATTTATTTCCTTTTATTTTAATTCAACCGTTAGAGCTTAGAATTGAGCCAAATTATTTAGAAAAATCGAATTGAGATATGATCCAAAATTATATTATTATCATACCCTTTTTTCTTTCTGCTTTCATTACTTTGATGCTTAGTAATTTATTTTTCCTTCTCATAGGTAATGGATTAGTCACTCAAGTTGTGTCCAAATGCAATACCAAAATCTAGTTAGCTTTTAATAATTGTTAGTGGCAGAGTTAACATTTCAAGATTTGTTTAGCAATTAAAATAAAATGAGAAAAAATCACTTCAACATTTTTCTTTAAAAAAAAAAAAGTAAGTCTTGTGTCTCACCAGAAAAAGATAGAAATAAATAAAAATTGTCCAATAATAATTGAAAGAACACAATGTAGGGGTTTCATTTTCTTTTCCATGCCAAATGAAGCTTTAAAGTTAGTGGGCACAATTCATGTTCACTAATAAGTTCAAAAGTTAAAAAATATGAAGACATAATATCCAACTTCAAATATATATATATATATATATAGATTTTTTGTCGCCTTAATCTGCATGTGGCTCCACCACGAATGATAGTTGCTAGTTTTAATAGCTACTTTATGATGTTCTTAGAACAAAGTATAAACACACTTGAGTATCTTAGAATGCTTTATTTATTTGGATATTTGTGGGCCATGGAAGAGATTGGGATGTGAATTTTGATTTTGTGTAGAGAGATACCAAAAGAATGTGAAATTGATTTGGTTAGATACTTAAGATGTAGATCCACAGTTGATATTCAAGTTTTGGTCATGGATCCTCCTTTAGGTCGCAAAGGTCAATGGAGTTAGATATTTTACAGCACTTAGGGAACTCTAGTTTTTGTTTTGTTTTGTTGAAAATTTTTAAATAGACAAAAAACCAGAATGACTTGCATCTTGAAGGCTTACCATAAAAGTAGTTAAATTAGTTATTTATTAAAATATGTATTAGTCTTCCTAAAATATTTTTTTTAATTGTTTGCATTGGAATTACTCTTTGATACAAAACCCCCCAATATATGGGCAATGATTAGTTTGAAAAAAAATTACAAATTTAAAGATAAATAGATTGAAATTTTATATATATGATGAAATAAACTCAAAGTTACTTCCTGTGTCTTCCACAGCCGGAGGTAGCAGATTTTACAACTAAAAGAACACTCTTAAAAATATTTATAGGGTTAATACAATTTTTATCCCCTTTCATCTATCGAGTGTTTTTTTTCATTTAAAACATTGATCCATATAATTCAATAAAAATCTGGATCATTTTTCTTTCTTGAAAGACCAAAATCTATAATTTGAAATTTAAGGGATCAAAAGCAAAATGAGGACAAACTTGAAGGACTAAATAACCCATATTTATTATATATCACCCGCTAATGAAAATTGAACTCACATTCTTGGATAAATTCTTTAGAATTAACTCTTTTTGCTTGTATATTACTTGTTGCGTTGCCGCCTAATTAATTTTGATGTGTGTGTCAGGATTCATTCATACGAGCCAAGAAGTGGGTTCAGGAAGTGCAACGACAAGGTAACTTGGGTGATAGCCATACACACACACAAATATATAAATATAAATATATATATATATATATATATATATATATATATAAAGGAACATGCATAAGAATATGATATTAACGGGACAGTTTACTGAGCCGGGTAAATCAAATTTCAGGAAATCAAAGTATGATAATATTTTTGGTGGCTAACAAGGCAGATTTGGAAGACAAGAGAGAGGTGTTAAACGAGGTATTCCTAAATATGATTTTGCTTTTATCATTTGTGACAAATTATTTACTAATATGTAGCACTATTGACTAATTGAGATTCAAATTTGATTATGGAATGGGAAAGAAGGTTTTATTGCCCTTGGCTGTATGGTTTCAGGATGGAGAGCAATATGCCAAAGAAAACGGCATGACTTTCATGGAAACTTCAGCTAAAACTGCTCAGAATGTAAATGAGCTCTTTTATGAAATAGGTAACTAACTCATTACTCACCCTTTTACATTGTTTTACTCCAAAATACCACTACCACCTTAACAAAGTTTGAAATTTTATATTAATTTTTTTAACTTATATATTATTTTCAATGAAATTCAGCAAAAATCCTTATAATTCTCGAATCCTCTGCGTCTTCCCCTATCCCCTTGAATGAGCTATGATGCTCTTGCTTTACAGATAGTGGATTTTCATAAATTTTACTCTCCTTCGGTCCTTATTATAAGACCCAATTTGACTTTTATTTGGTCCTAATTATAAGACTCAATCCATTTTGTCTCTTATATTTATGTATTTTTTTTCCAAGATAATCTTTCTAATAATGATAGTTTTAGCCAATATACTTAATTAGCAAGGATATTTTAGGAATGACAACACTTATTTATTATAAATAACCAACTTAACTTACTTCCTTAATCTCCTCAAATAAGTCAATTGGGTCTTATAATTAGAACCAGAGGAGTACATTGTTTCTATTTGGCACATAAGCAAGAGATTAGTTGGAAAATTTGGAAGTGTAAAATGGATGAGCGTGTGACATTTTTGCAGCGAAGAGATTGGCAAAAGCTAACCCTTCACGTCAAACTGGGATCAAGCTGCATAGCAGACCTCAACAAGAAAATAGGAGACGATTCTTTTGTTGTGCCTGATCATTACTTCTCTTCTTATCTTCTTTTGCTGGTTTTCTTTCCTCCTTTCCAAGTATTTGCTCAGTTATCATATGTCTATTACACTCCACAATAAAACCTCAAAATTTATGTTACTTCACTGGGGGACCACTTGCACATCATCTCGCAGGAGCAAAATTACATATGCCCCTCTTCCTCATCCGACTCAAATACCATCACCAACATTTGTTTTGTGTACAAAGATCATTGTGCAAGCTGAAAAATGTTTGTGGAGAGTATTTCTGCTCTTCTTATATCAAAACTAATTCCATTTTGTGTGGCTTTATAAGAGGCTGGCTTATTTTATTGTATGATTGTAATTTTTTATTAAAACAACATTGATATGTTCCCTGCTTTTCTTTTCTTTTCTTTTCTTTTGTACATTTAATACATTTCATGAAAATAGGATTCTTTAGCCATGAACAGAACAGTACAGGACATAACAATGACTGAACATAACAGGCAGAGTTAATGCGAGAAATAAGGCTTCTTGCCTAATGGGGTCGAAGCAGACAGCTGGAATCGTCCACATCGAATAACAGAATACACAGTTTTTGTTCGTTTTTCTTTAATACGGAGCATTGGAATCAGACGTCGAGGTCCCTCAAAAACAGAGATCATTACCAATTTCATTTTGATCACGAGAAACATAATCTAACAAGTATCATCATTTCTCTTCCAGCCCATACTACAAAATTCACGTGCACTCTCACAATCCCAACGACAGAAACTTTTTTTTTTTCCTCTTTTTGGTGGTGGGGTGGGGGGAACAGAGCTTGCTATCACAACCAGGAAGAAAACAAGAATGCAACATCAATATGCATTTCTATGTTCAAAATGTGGAATGAGTAAGTGGTGAGAATCAAGGTTTTTTTAAAACAGAGATCATTACCAATTTCATTTTGATCACGAGAAACATAATCTAACAAGTATATCATTTCTCTTCCAGCCCATACTACAAAATTCACGTGCACTCTCACAATCCCAACGACAGAAACTTTTTTTTTTTTTACTCTTTTTGGTGGTGGGGGTGGGGTGGGGGGAACAGAGCTTGCTATCCACAACCAGGAAGAAAACAAGAATGCAACATCCAATATGCATTTCTATGTTCAAAATGTGGAATGAGTAAGGGGTGAGAATCAAGGTTTTTTATTTTTTTTTATTTTTCTACCTTTCTTTCCATTCTTTTCTTTTTGGACCAGAAAAGAAAGAACGGTAAGGTAAGAACATGGGTGGCCGAGCCAAAGCCATGCCTGCAAAAGACAAAGCGATTGTCATCTTTCTTCAGTGTCAGGCTGCTCCACTGCCACTTTTGTTCTTCCCACATACTATGTGTGATGTTGCCCCCACAAATCTTACAACATCTCTGCCTTCAATTTGCGCTGCAACTTTCTCATTTCTCAGCATACAACCCAAAAGAAAAAAAAAAACCAAAAACAGAGTAAACAGAGGTGATGAGTGTTTTGGAGGGAAAAGAGTTGTGACACAGCCTTGGCCTTCACAAAAGTATGCACATATAACAAGGGGGAAAACCAAGAAGAAAAGGCCATTTATGGTCTAGCTTAACCATTGAATTGAATCACCATGAAGGAGAAGTGCAGGGGGTGGCAGATGATGTAGATGAGAGACCATTGTTACTGTGAGAATCACTACCTGAATGACCCAATGACGTTGCATCTTTGAGAGAAACAGAGGAAGCCTCTGGAGGGAGCTTCTTCATGGGAGAAAGAGGCGTATATGAAGGTGAAGCCTGAGTTGCCTCATCTTCATCAGAAGAACCAACTGTTTCCAGGCGAGAAGGTGAAGTGTGTGGTGTTTGGAATGGAGTATCTGATCGACTACTTCCCTTGCCTTCCTCGTCGTTTTCATAAATGGGATTCGAAATGTACACAACATGTTCCCCACAAATAGTCCCCCTGCTGGGATCATCACTGCTTTGAACTGAGTCACGCGCTTCTTGAATTGACTGTGGTGGAGAAGAAGCAGAGACAAGTCCAAGGTGACGAGGGCTTGTTATGAAATCTCGGGACTGGATTTGAATAGCCTGATGATGAAGCTCAACAAGCTGTTTCTTTGCTTCAGTTAGCTCCTCTTTGGAAGAAAGTAGAGGGAAAAGGAGGTTTCTTGGAGCTTGGAGGACTCCTTGAGCATAAATGCTAGTGAAGGAGGGAGGAGGAGGAGGAGGAGGAAGAGAATGTTGCTGGGGATATGAGGAGGGTGAAGAAGGTGAAGCATTGGTTCTGCTTGCGGCGGCAGCGGAGGCGGAGGCTCTGAGAAGGCGGCGGCGGCGGAGCAAGAGAGAGCAGTAGAGCTCAGTCAGTAGAACAAGGATGAGGCCAAGAACAACCGCAAGGGTCACCACCATGATCAAAGTGGCACCCATTATCACTTTGGACGTGCCCTTCATCTATGTCTCCGTCTGTCTCGTTCTTCTGCAGCGAAGGGAAGAAATTTATGGCGGTAAAAGTCTACACGAAGTAAAAGGCTTAAGTAACATCGGGGAGAACGAGAAGCCCTTTTTGGCGGGAAAACAGCCATTTAGCTTAAGACAGAGAGAGGATAGAGAGACCGAGTTGCGAATCTTGAAAAGGGTAATGGTCCTACTGTCCTTGGGAATGCAAAGGCTTTTGTTATGATTTCTGAACGAGCTAGGCGGAGTCAATCCTTCAAGGTCAGACCTGTCATCTCTCTTAAAAGTTATTAGCTTATCATAATCATCTTGTAAACAAAAACACTTGCCTTTAAGTTTAACCCCCCTGCAAGGTTGCAACAACAAAATACGCCACAGGAAACTGTGAAACAAAATTTCAACGCAGCATGGTAAGAACCAATGACAGTAATTAATCAATTAATTATATTACTCTCAACTTCTTTTACCGTCAAGTTGTGAACATGGGCACGCCAGTTTTGGTTACAAACACTTGTACAAACATTAAAGAAAAAGGGGGGCAAATTGAACTGAGATGGCATATAACTTGAAGTTGCATCAGAACCGAGCAACTACATAGATCTAAGCCCACAGAGTAGTCAACAGTTTGCTATTGAAATTGAAGCACCGCCATGCCATGCAATCTTTTCTTCAACGACACACCAGAATGAGATAAAGGTTGAAAAATCAAAACGCCTTATCTATACAGGCAAAGAAGCTCTTCCAACCACCCTTTTTTCCATTGTTCTTTCTTTCACCTTCCTCTCAAGGCCGCAAACCTAGCAGCCAAATCATCATAGTCAGGTAACTTGGGATGCACATGCCGAGCAGCACTTGGTCTATCCGGCTGAAATGAAGCAGCTCGAGCGAATTCTTTGTCTTCTTTTGCTGCTTCCGTTTCCTCACGGGGAAGAGAAACCGATCGCGGTGGAACAGCATTTAACGCTGGTGATTCACCATTCCTTGAAGATTCTCGTGCTGAGTTATCCCTTTGGTGTGCATGACGACTTCTACTCTTTCTCCTCCATTTTTCAGGCAAGATGGATGGTTTTTTACTATAATGGAGCAGTAATTTATCCATCATCCTTTCCTCTTCGTGACTTCGATAGCGGTCGTCGTCAAATAAGAGTTGCAGGCCACGTCTTGGGTCATCTCGTCTCCTGCTCCTCAATTTTCTTGTCACAACTCCAGTATATTCGGCGCTGGCATCATACTGAGTAGAATTGGCATCATGGTGACTAGAACGTGACTTTGAGTGCTTACGCCTTGAAGATTTCGATTTAGACACAGGGATTTCAGTAGCCAATTCCTTTTCTGAACCTAACTGCGTCCTCTCTGATGCAGTAGCCACAGCAGGCTTCCCATGTGGTGAAGGGCATGCAGAGATGTTGCCTTGGTCCTCTTGTGGTAAGTCGACATTGGGTCCAATTTTACGGTTCTTCTGTTTAGAACTGGATTTAACATAAGGAGGTGGCATGTGATTATTGTGATGGGAGCTAACCATCGGGGTTTCATCCCTATGAGGAGTTCTGCTTCCCCACTTTGACCCATCTTCAAATTGTTCCATCCTTTTATCCTGGGGCAAACCCCCTTTTACAATAGGCTTTACCATACTATCCTCATACTGGTGTCGCCTGTCCTTCTTAACAGTAAGCTCTCTTTTTTCATGGTCATGGCTATCACGTTTTAGAATGTCTACATCGCGACCCTTTTGCTGCTTTAATCGATATTTAGGAGGCCTGGATCTAGATTGAAGATCATCATCGTCTCTTTTTGAGACAATAGCATCATTGCTAGGATGGGCTGGACTTTGCTCCAACAAATCATAATACTTGTCTCCTTTCAGGGCACCGTCATTGCCATGTGCTGATTTATTATCATGGGTCAAATGGTTAGTTTTGTAAATTTTGTGGTCCTGCATAGGTCGTAAATAAGAAGTGGTTAAAATTTTAGCAACATTTTCAAACAGAATTTGCCTTTTGGGAACCAAGAAACAATGCGCAGAAGTATTAAAAAAAAAATTTTGGGGGGGGGGGGGGGCCTTTTGAAGTTGGCAATTGGGGGGGGCATCACACCTGTGCAAATGCAGAGGGTTTGGACATCCTCTCCTCAAAAGCCTTCGAGTCCCACTGTATTGAAAACTCTGATGCAATCTCCTGCATCAAGCTAACCTTCTTCTCCAGCGTAGAAGGCCTCACATTCAAGTTTGCAGCAAACTGGTGAAAAGCAATAATTAGTCATCAGTTCAGGTCCAGGAAGAAGTCGAATATGTAGAATTCGAATAGATATGAAAACATGAAAAATGACCTCTTGGTTGACATAGCAATAAAGGGAATTCCCATATCTCTCCTGAAATATTTGTCTAAGCTCACGTAGCTCTGGAAGATCAGAAAATCTTGCAGCAGCAAGCATTAGAGATGATACAGCCTCTCTGCATTCCTCAGGGCATCCACTGTAAATGAAATGAAAGCATTCATTGGTCGCGCTTTTACCTTTCCCATTCTTATATGCACATCATCAAGCATTAATCTAGACACTCGAGATATCAGTTCAGTCAAGTAAATTTGAGCGTTGAGATTCCAATTCAAATAACTTATCACTAAGAGGCCTACTTATGACATGAAAACTTGTGCCACCTGAATCTGATCAGTGTTTCAATACCAAAATTATCATAAAAACATCACATTGCATGATCATTTTAACTAAAGAATATGAAGCCACCTAGCATAGAAAGACTACACGTTCATTTCCCAAAAAAAAAAAAAAAGGACTGCACCTTCACACCAATGTTCAGCCAGAAACTTATAAAATCCGACCATGCACTCGTGTATTAATTTATGGCGCAGTACTGGGGACCGTTAAGTAGTTTGGTTTAACATGACAAAGTGTCATACGTTGTACTCTGAAAATTTGGTAAGGAACACATTACAAGAGTAGAAGAGAACGGAAGCAGGATGAACAATTAATAGCATTGACACTTGAAAGTTTGTTTGTTTCAGAATATCAGACCAAAAACAGATGGCTGGGCCCGGTTATTGAATGCAAAACAATATTCTTTTGTGTATTTGTGCCTATGTAGGCGTGGAGTTCATTTTTGCTTATTCTTCAGTCCTGCCAACGGTTCAGGTAAATAAATTTCTGCACAGGTTATGCAATTACGACGCAGTATGAACAATAATACTAGATAAATAAGTCCGGCAAATTCACTGGATCAGCCACGATTAAAATTTAATAAAGGAAAAAAAATCGACAGGGAAAAGGAAAACTAATAAGAGCAAACATCTATACCTCAGTTTCTGCATCGCCGGAAGGTGCTTCATTACAAAGTCACAAGATTGCTCGATGAAATCATAACAAGACGAAACCGTCCGCTCAACCATAAGTCTATCAGCCTGTTTCACCGCCTCGCAAGAAGGATAAAGCTTCATCAGCTCTATAACAAGGAGCCTTTCATAACGGAACAAAATAAATCGATTTTTCGTACTTTATCAGCTTATCCACATAAATCGAAACGCAAATAGTTGAACTCCCTACTCAAGTTCCTTCGTAAATTTCCTCCTCATTAGTTTCAATTTTCATATAAGCCAAGAATGTATAACAAGTTAACAACCACATACGACGATTATCAGAGACCATTCTACGCCTTTAATTGCCGCTAGTCCAGCGGGACCGAAGATGAAAGCTCCTCCACAGTAAAACAACACAAATTAAAACATATGGAAGATCCAAACCAAGAGCATTCATCCCAAGATCGCGTCCACTGAAGAATCAAATCGAACAACACATGGAATCGAGAAACAACACTAACAAGGAAAATACGCGCGCTTGCTTATATACGAAATGTACATACCCTTTCGTAGGCATTAACATCGAGACCAGTCGCCAGCAGATCAGCGACGTCTTTCTTAAAAAACTTCTCCGTCGCCTTCCGCTTCCTTCTTATCACATCGATCCGACTCTTGATCAATTTGATCAACGATTTGCTGCCAGAAAAAAAAAACGGAAAAACAAAAACTCAAAATTCATATCATAACCACATTCTCGAAATCCTTCGCGCCAACTTCATCAGAAACTGAACTCAACAAGAACTATAACAACAAAGGAACATAAATTAAGAGAAAAGAGAAAAGATCGTATAGACAACCATTTAGCGGCGAATCCGCGCCCAAGTAATCCGTCCAACATTGTGGACCGCCGACAGACTTCACTCCCCTCAGTAATGGATTTGACTCAGTCACTCAGAGAGAGAGAGAGAGATTCGACATTGAAGATGGCAATTACGAGAGCTACAGGACATGAGCTCTCTGTCAAAGAATGGAAGGAAGAGGAGGTGGTAGAAGAAGAGAAATGGAATTTAACGAAAAAATAATACTCGTAATAATCAAAAAGTGTTTCGAAATACGCAAAAGGCTCTTTGTGAAGGCGCTTCAATGAGTCACTTGGGGGAACTTTCGGCAAATTACGCCGAACATTGACACACTGGCGGAATCTCAGTGCGGGTAGCGGCCTTGGGCTTTTATAACGTGACTTGAGAGTGAAGAGGGAAGTGAGAATTAAGAGAATGCTTGAGGGGTACTATGGGGACGTGAGAAAAGGGTAATAATGGGGAGAAGCGAATTTAAGGGCGTGATTGGGAGTTGTCCTGAGGGATTGAGCGACCTTAAGGTGAACGTGGCAATCAAAATGATGAGCTGGAGTCTGGAGAGCACAGGACAGCGACGCTGACAAGGATTCAACGAAATGCGTGAGGTTTTTTTTTTTTTTTATACAAATGCGTTAGGTTTTTGAATCCCTAGAGACTGACATGTTAGATATAGGTTAGACCCCCAGCCTGGTTGGGGGCTCAGCCAGCCCAACACCGTGTTAGGTGTGGCCTCGCACCAAAAATCTTAATCATCAAGGGAGATTAAAAACATGAGCTTTATTTATTAAGAAAAATTGGAATAAATTTCTCGTTCAAAAATTAATCAGCAAAGATCTCTAAAATATGGATTACATTAAAAAAATAAGTTATATGCAAAAAAATAAATTGCACAATAAAAAATAGTTTGTACGACATTATCTGAATGTTAGAAACTAAATTGCATATAGGAAAAATAAATTGCATAAAAAAATATTTAAATGCACAAAAGAAAGATATTGTACAACAAAATATGGTTTCACACACACACAAAATTTAAGTTACACAAAATATTTAGAGATACCAATTAATTTCTCAATTGATTTGTCCCTATTTTCTCTTATTTATTACAAAAAGTATAATTAAATTAAAATTTTGAATAAAACTAAGGTTGAATTTTTAGGACTCTCAGTCATGACGATGAGGTTGATTGATTACCACGCAAAATATATCAAGAAAAATAGTCATATAAAATATCTCAACATTTAAAAAAAGGAAATAAAATAAAATAAAATAAAATAACACCCCTAAACTTAACTGCCATTTCCTACATTTCATTTTCAGCTTCAGCTAACCTTTTTTTTTTTGCCGGAATCAGCTGAATTAATTTGATAGTTTACTTGTAGTATATATATGCGATGTATGAATCAATTGATTAAAAATTGTATATTTATTAATATGATTGATTTGGAAATTGTTTAAAAAATTCTTTCTTTTTAATTTATAAATTTCATCTTGATTAATTGTTAATGAGAAATAGAATTTAAGCTGAGAATTATAATTGATTGACTGATTCCTAATTAATAGATTGGAATTGGATTGGGTAGGAGGAGAATATCCAATGTTAATAGATACTCAATATAATAGGGGTTAAGTGTTGTGGTTAAACAAGAACCACAGCTTGGGATGACGTGAGAAAGAACAAATTGGGGATATTTTTTTTTTTTTGTTTTGGGGCCACTAACATTAAATTGGAGTATACAATGCTTGATATGGATTTGTTTCCCATTAAGCAAAAAAAAAAAAATGACGCGTTTTTTTAATGAGAAATTCAAAGGACTGTTGTGTTAGGTAGGTATATTAGTTAAAGTGTGGTGGCTCTAAACCAGAAAATAACGGATCAGGAAAGAGGGAAGAAAAGTAAAAAAGGTCAACAATTAACTTCAGCAGCTGAACATATCGCCAGAAAGTGGACCATCTGACCAGATGGATTTGCGTAGTCCATTCTGAAGTCCTAACAACTGCCATGGCAGTTGCAATCTAGAAATAAACTAGTTTTAATTTGAATTTCAATTACTGCTTGCCCAAATTTAAGACGCCAATTGACATTGTGTTCTAAATTTACACAACCTTTTGTTCTAAATTTAAGAGCTAAGACAAAATAAACTACTTGCTTTCATGCTTAATATAAGATATCAATATATTTTTTATCTAAATTTATAATCTTTTTCAAAATAGTATATATTAATGAGGTTTTTTCCAAAGAGTTGTTCTAATAAACATGATTAAAAAGAATATTTGAGAAAAACTAAAGCTTTTTAATTTCTAAAAATTAGTTATATATTTTTTACATAAAAAACTGGAAACAGTAATTGCTTTCTTATTTCTATTTATTGCACATATTAAGAAGATTTCTGTGAATGATAGTTCCAATACATATAATTCAATATGTCATATTTTAGGAAACTAACCCATATTTGTTACAAATGATCAATCTAATTAATCTTCTGGTTAATATAATACTTGATCTCTCAAATTTATTCTCATTTTAATTTTGGTCCCTCAAATTCAAATTATAAGTTTTGATTCCTCAATGAACGAAATAGTTCAAGTTTTTATTGACTTATTATAAGGACCAATATTTTAAATAAAAAGAATCTTGAGAGACTAATGGGGTGTTCGGAAGCACCAAAAAGTCCTTCTTGGAAGCATTTTTTCACAAAACGAGACAAATTCATCCACATATTTATTTCGTACAACGTAAAAGCACTTTTAAAACCATGGTTTTGATTCTATCTAAACACCCTCTAAGACGTAAATGAGAACAAATTTAAAGGATTAAAACCTGTATTAAACCCTTAATCTTCTTAATATTTATAACTTAATTATCTAGTTCTTATATTAAAAATAAGAATAGGATAAATAAGTTAAGATATATAGGTGATTAAATATGACCTACTCTTTTTATTTGGAATAATAAAAACAACCGTTATATCATTAGTGATTTAACCCACTTCCTAATCAAATAAATGGTAGGGGGATTTTAAATTTTAATGTAAAAGCATCATAGTTCAGCCCTCAATCAGCGCAATAAGCGGTAGCAGTGTGTCACTGCCGGACAACTATTATTATAATCAATCATCAAAGACAGCGGGAGAAGAGAACATGAGGGAAGAGTCAGCCTTAAAATTTGTTCTGGTAAAACTGTAGAAGGAATCTGATTCTTCAAAGTGCCTTTCACCCTCAGATTAAAGGCAAGTGGCTCCCACATGACTTCCCAGTCTGAGACATCAGCCTCAACCTCTGTAATTTTTTTTTCTTTTAAAAACATAATTTATTACTATTTTTTTAATATAAAAACTATATAACTAATTTAAAAAGTAGGGGTGTGCATGGATCAGACTGGAACGGGTTTGTTATCAACCCGAAGTCTGGTCCAATAAAGACCTCGGGCTGAAAAAGACAGTCCGAGGTCTGGTCCAATCCAGTACCAACCCGAGGTCGGGTTGGACTGGACTTGGTCCTTTGGACTGCCTGGACCAGTCCAAGTAGTTTAAGACCTAAATTTAATTTTTTTAAAATTTTTTTCCTTTAATAGGAGACAAGATTGTAACTTACTATATAAAATTTTGTACATATTTTAATCCAAAGTTCATCAAATTTAATCATTCTCTTTCAATTTCCCAATAATGTCATGTTTTATTAATTAATCCTCATTAATATAGACTTTATATTGTAGAAAATATATACGCATGCTCATTACTTAGGAAGTTAATAAATAAATCTTGATTATTTAAATAGACAAAAAATTTATATAGAAAAATTAAACCAAATTAAAATTATATAAATAATAATTAAAAAAAACGGGCTAGACTGGACTGGACTAACTAGTTTGAGGGGCCATTCCTTAGTCCAGTCCAGCCCGATGAGACTAGTCCGGTCCAGTCTGGTTTCGGGCTATTTTTTTTTTAACCGGACTGGACCGGGTTGGACCGGACCATACCGGACCACTAGGTTTTTGCACGGCCCTACTAAAAAGATTAAAAAATTAATTAAATTATTTATTTGTAATAAATATATGTTAACTTTTTTAAATTGTCTCATTTAATGGTGTGCCTTAAAACTACTTCCTGGTGGAAACCTCTTACAATTAATAAAAGATATTTTTAAAAAATTATTAATTTGGGAGATAAAAATTAATTGGAATTTCATATAAAAGATCAAATCCAACTCTTTGACTAGTTTTTATATTTAGAAGGGGAGGTAGTATTTTATAAATTTGTTTCATATGTGTCATGTAATCGGCTATTCCGTCCCCTTCATGGCTGTGATTTGTGACCGGCAGGGCTTAGCTTGTTCTGCTTTTGGGATTTTTTTTTTTTTTGGTGCAGGAATGAGAATTAGAACAGCAATGAAGTTGTATACAATGTTTAAAGAACTGATCGGATTAGACTCGTTAGCCGCTTGATTAAAATTAAAGAAACCAAAAAAAAAACTGTGTTCATAGTAAAATTTAGTTGGATTGGAGTTGTGTTGTTATTGATCCAGAACCGAAAATTAAATCCCTCAAATTAGACTGTCCCGCCCATTACTCAGCGCAAACATAATTGAATTTGGAGGAACAAGTAGTGATTACAAAAACAGGAAACTGCGAGTCTCCTATGAAAGAAATTAACAAACATAAAATTCGCCAGGAAAAAAAGAAACTAGAAGATCTACTACAGTATATATAAATAATATGCGGCACTGGATGTCAAATAATTAGAAAACAAGAATTAACAAAAACAAGTCATGAAGGTGATGATGAAGTTGAAGAGGTAATTTTCCTGATCAAGCATCTCATGGCGAACCATTCGGAGAAGAGCGAGGTTCTGAGGAAGAAGACGACTGTAAAAGAGTATGGTGGAGATGGAGGAGGCAGGTTCAAGAACCAGAGAAGTTATCAGCCTTACCAATGACATCAACATCCAAGTTCTCACAGACTGCACTAAAACCACAAACCAATTCAACAAATTTGCAACTTAAAGTTATAGAGGCAAAAACAAGAAGAAGAAGAAGAAGAAAGAGTGGGAGGTACCATGAAATGAATCTGCAGGCCAGGTTGATGAATTTGGGTTTATGTGAAGGAAGGAAGGAAAGGACACATATATTATCAGTTTGTTTTTAACAAGTGTCGCTTTCAAATGTAACGCACATTCATACCTAACTTTCAGAGTCAACTCCCTTTTGGACTCAAACTATTCATGAATCCACCTCCAACAATTTTTTTTTTTCCTACAACAAGGTTAGGTGAGTTAAACGCTAGGAGCTCACCAGAGTCAGGATATATCTCTAAACTCAGAGAGCTCCTATAAAGGTCTTTATAGA